CGCGGCCACCTCAACCCCAATTCCAACAACAATGGCGAATGTCATTCGGAAACTCTTCTTCAAACCCTGACTGGAAGTGACCAGCAATTCGATTTCACCTTGGAAAGCTGGACTTCCGAACGATTCGGGGTCAAATCTCGGAAAAGGGGTAGGAGAAATCACCCCTCCGGCGCGGGCCTTTCAGGCGCCACGGCTGGTAAAAAGCCCTCAAACTACGGCAAAACTTTCACTTTCGGAGTCCTCACCAATCCCTCTACAAAAAGGCGCAGGACCTCTACACCAAGAGCCGATCCTCTCTGGCCGAAGTCATCTTAAGCGGCCGCTCACTCGACGTTCCTGCGATCACCCCAAATATCCAAGAGGTCCAAAATCTCTACGGGGCATCCTGGGTAGTTTTAAATTTAAATTACATGATACTGATATTACCCCACGGAACGGAATGACCATCAAACACGTTTGTACTTCCGCATTACCCACAAGAGTTCCCATGGGTGCACCTGCCCCAATGCCCCCATGTAGTCGGCGCCAGTGAATTCAAGTCAAGTCTATGCTTGATTTGTTCTAGAATAAATAAAATAATTGTTTCTTTTCGCAAGCGAAAACGTGCGAGGATGTCGACGTCATCAAAATTCGCAAAGGAATTTGACCGAAATAGACTGTGAGATAGGGGCTGTTTAGTGGAGTAATTTTTTTTTTGTCTGGCATTTTGAGGGCTGAATGTGGCTACTAAGCTGATGAGAATATGGGTGATTTTAATGCCTGCCTCCCGTTCGAAAATTTGTAGAAGAAAAAAATTGATTTACATGAAGAATTTTTTTTTAATGATCTCAAATTTTTCGGCTTCTAAATAAAAGATTGACATTGATTAATAATTCACCCATAAAAAATACCAGATGCTTTTCAATAGCTGAAAAAGTGGGGATGAGTGTCAACTTCCAAGAGAAAAGAAAAGAACCTTCCGCGTTTACTTTTTGTCTGGTAATCGAGAGAATGGAAGGTTTTGTTATGAAAATAACGCTGAAAAATTACCAGACAGTAATCACAGTTCGAAGTCAAGTTTTCCGGCGAAACATTCTGTGGACATTTCGAACAGGGAGCGGGCATTAAAACCACTTATATTCTCATCAGCTAACTAGTCACATTCATCCCTCAAAATGCCAGACAAAAAAAAATGACTCCACTGAACAGGCCCTATCTCAGGGTCTAAAACCTTACGTGCCTGTGCTAGAGGCCCCGCTAATGCATGTTCTAGAAATTCTAAAACATCTCGATCATCATCACTGAAATCTACGTCCTTCATCTCTTCACAATATCAAAATTCAATCCAAAACCAGCACTGTAAAAAAAAAATCAGATAGAAAATAAGAGAAAATGTTGAGTTTAACCCAAGGTCAAATACGCTAACTTGCCGTGAGACCGCGGGTTAACTTTTTCCTGGAATAACTTTCGAGTTAGCAGTTGACCCTGGATGGATAAACACTTGTCACAACTTTGACCCAAGGTTATCCGTAACTCATGGGGTAACCTTCTATTAATAAACCGGCCCTAAATGTCATAATAAAGGTCGACTCTATAATCTATTGTTGACAATGTCATAAATCAAAATTAGGCACTAGCTGACGTCACACATGCACATAACCAAAGAAGGGGAGACAAAAAAAGCGTTTGAGGACTATTCACACATATCAGTTAGGCGTTAGCTATTACGTCACTTTCGATAGGGGGACAAGCATGTCATTGGGCACTTTATTTTTTCCCAAGATAGATTTTGACATTGAAAACTTTGAAACATAAACAATAACGCTTGACCCTGATTAGTCGCAAAATGAGGTGTTTCTGCAGGTTGACATCAGTTTTACAAAAGCGACCAATAAGCGGCATTAGCGGCATTGTTTATATTTCAAAGTTGACAATGCCAAAATCTATCTTGGAAAAAAATAAACCATAGATGCTGAAACTTGGCATCAAAGGTTAGGACATGCTGGAAAAAAGCTTCGAGGCAACTTGGATTAGAAGTTCTCAAAAAGATTTGTCCTACTTAGGTACTTGTATGGAAGGAAAAGCTACGAGGCCAACATTTCAACAGAATGAAAAACGTGCTACAGAAATAGAAGAACTTGTGCATAGTGACCCACTAACACCTTGTACAAAAACTGGAGGAAAATATTATCAGGCAATTTTAGATGATTTTTCATACATTTCCTTATTGTATAGATTTCAGTAAACAAAAGCTACGTTTATGAAACTGAAAGACAATTTGGTGTTAAAGTTAAAATCATAAAGGAGACCCCCATCACTAAAATGGCATGGCCGTACTAGTAAACTTAAAGTTTTTGGTTGTCGAGCATGGTATGTTCAACTACCAAAGGAAAATAAGCTTGAACCAAAGGCCAAAAAAGCTATAATGGTGGCATATGGTGGAGGTTGTTATAGACTCTGAATACCTTCAGGAGAAAAAGTAATATATAGAGTCCAGGGACGTACGTTTTGATGAAAGTATTTTAGAATACAAACAAAATCAAGGGAACACAAATGAGAAAAAAGTTGAATAAAAAATTCAACAATATCAAACAATCGGTGTAGAAGACCCAAGAGAAGAAAGGAGAGAGGTAATTTATCAAGAAAATGAAGAAAACATTAAAAATAACAATGAAGAAGAAATAGAAAATCAAGCTCAAACTAGAAGTGGAAGAAGAATTTAAAGACCAAATCATATATAGATGATTATGAAATTTATGAGGCTTATTGTTTATTGTCCGAATCATATGAAGAGCCAAAAACCTATGATGATGCCAGGAAAAGTCTAGAACGGAACGAGGCGATTCAAAAAGAATTAAATTCACATGAAAAGGTGAATACTTGGACTCCAGCTGAAATTACAAATAATCAGATTGTGCAAAGAATTTGGTTTAGGAGAATGTCGAACAGTTACTACACCAATGGAGGTTGAGTTTAACCTGGATGAAGATTTAATGAGATCAGATATTCCTTATCGTAGATTGGTATGCAGTCTGATGTATATTTCGTTAGTATCTAGACCAGACATAGCATTTAGTATATCATGCCTCAGTAGATATTTGGATAAGGCAACAAATCAAGCATGGATTGCAGTGAAACGAGGTACATAGATATCAACGAATCTCCTTGAATTGAATTACACCAAGGGAAATAAGGAACTTGTGGGGCAGTCAGATGCCGATTGGGGAGGAGATAGACAGACCAGAAAAAGTGTCAGCGGATTTATATGTTTTCATTTTGGAAATCCCATAGCTTGGTACCTACCTACTCTAAAAAGCCAAATGGTGTTTCTCTGTCAACTATGGAAGCTGAATATATAGCAGCAAAAACTCTGGCTAGAATTAGATTTGTATCATTTAGAAAACTCATTATGAAATAGGTAATAGGTAGGTACCTAATTGGCTTTACATATAGTTACCTACTCATTAGGTAAATGTATAGCACTCGTTATTTTTGTTATGTTAAGCTTTTAGATGTATATTTTGATTTAAGTATTTTGTTTGTAGTCAATGAAATGTATTTGTTGTTTATAATTTTGCTGATAAGACTAATTGCTCCTGAAAACTTTGATTTGGATGCTTATTTCAAAAGGTTCCACAGCAATTTAAATTCGCTCTTAAATACCTCTTAAAAGGCGTTTTGTTACTTTTAAACTAAATCCTAAGATTCTGGCTCTTTTCAAAATGTTTCTAGAGGTTCTAGAGTGTTTCTAAAATGGATTCCAAATTTGAAAACTTCTGATTTGTTTCAAAATGCTTTTGGAAATTGTAGATTAGTCTTATTACTGGGTTTCAATTGTTGAACTAAAATAAAGTATAATTGTGTAAACCTTACTACAGTTGTTTCTCTCATTTGCGAATAGACCCCCTCTACAATTTTATTAGTTGCTGTCCAAGGAAATAAACACCATCAATAAAATCAGTCGCCATTTACCATCTAACTAATTAAAAGAGTACTTAGGCGCATTTTCTACATACCTAAAGCAAAGGAACATGATTGTAGTGGGACTCAGAAAACACTTTTGGAATGTTCTTACCAAAAAAATACAATTGAAGTTATGAAACAGAGAAAATGATCAAATGAAACCGAGTGAGTAGAAAACAACAAATTCAGAGAATATATTTATCCGTTACAAAGGGACAGAAATATAAGGGAAAATGTGAAAGTGGCAGCTCATATAAATGATTACGATGAATCATCAATTTGATGAAACTCATTAATGATGAACTCTCAACATAATGATGATGCTGAAGACTGGAAAAATGGAAAATATTCTGCATATCAAATAATACTTATATGGAAAAGATCTGAACAAATTCACCTCACTTGACTCGCCTACTGACCTCCTTAATGATACAAAAAATTACAATATTAATTTTCTAATAAAACATAATAATTTATATAGGTATATTAGCAACACAATTTTTTTACACCTTTCATCAAATTATTATCAAAAATCTGAACTTTAATATAATTCAAAATATAAATCTTTGGCGAGATAAACATTATTTGATTACTTCAAAATTTATAATAATTTCATGTTTCAGTTATTACAACACCATAAATATTAAAAAACAATGATATAAGCGTATAAATAAACCAATTTGGATAAAAATGTACCCACCTCGTTTCCGCAAATGACTGTTGTCGCAGTTCCTTATTAATAATTCAACGCATCAATTATTTCCTAATAAAGCATCTGAATTTGTATATTAACTAAAGATTTTATATATTTTTCAACTTAATAACAAAAAATCATAGATACATTTATATAAACTACATCTTAATCTGGTAGAAAATCACGGACAACACAGAAAATACTACTACTTTATACGCCCAAGATCAATATTACAGCTAACCTTATACTCTCCCCGTCCTCTTTTTATTTCGAAAAACATGCTTTTTTTTTCTAAGAGTCTAGTCAGCATTTTTTTGAAGAGTGTAGGCCTTGCATGCAAGAAAATCGCCACATAAACGTTTACCTCAAGATCATTCCAATTTTGTGCATTGATTTTTGCTGCTTCCACACTTCCTTTGGCTCCCATTCTAAATATGACCTATACTACTAGCTATATGGTTCTGATTATATAGGTATACTGCAAAGTCTCTATGTTAAGCAAAATATAAATTAAACGCTATTTTAGTTTTGAAAGCAAATAACTGATAAATGAAGTTTCGAAAATGAAAAATCATCAAAAGAAAATTAATTTATCGACGTTTCAGAGTTGTGTTAACGCGGAAAACTCTCGGGCTCACTTCGATTTTCCGGCGCTCGCCAACAGTCGAGGAAGGCATATAGAGCATTGCGGCGCAGAATCCCACGCCTAGGATTTGCTCCTGAGGTGTGGCTACATGGAGGAGAGCTGTAGCTGGCTGCTGCTGGAAACACCGAGCGAAACTAGTGTAGAGGTAAAAACGGGGAAAAATAGAGCATCTTTAGAATAGATACACTGCTCTAAATAATCCACTGGATGTTCTTCTCTAACAAATTAAAGGTTTTTGAGATTACTATAAAAAATAATTTTGATTTTTAAACAGGACACCCAGAAGCAGTTTCTATGAAGATATCAGAAGCATTTTCAACATTCACATATATTGGAAAGCCATTTAAGAAATCTTGTTCACCAAGCACATACATGCTTGAAAACAATACAAATAAATAAAGAGTAAAAGTTGATATTTATTGCCTTTAGTTTCTAATTGAATATGTATGTAATACAAAAAGCAAAATTGTCTTCTAGGAAATGACACAGAATGAATTTTAATTGAATCAAAAATAATCGCAATTATATTAGTCGATTAACGAACCTTTAATAAAATAATCACGTAAAGTAAAAGTCCTTCAATTCTAGTAATCCGAAAGCCATCAATAACTTGCATGATCGCTTGATTATGAGAATTTACAAAAATATGTTTGAATTTATTTCTTTAGAATCCGTCGCAATCACGGAGCCTAATAAGATTTGAATTCTATATTTTGGGCAAAAAAATCTTTCTTGTTAAAACTTCCCAATTCAGTTCGATAAACCATTATGGTTTCAATTTTTTCCTAGAGGCTAAAAGACCATCGGAAGCGAATTATCAGGACAATTCTAGAAGTCGCAAAAACAGAGTCGGTCAGCGAGGGAAAAAGTCAGTGATAAATTGAACGTAGAAATTTCAATTTTTCCATGTTGAGAATCTGAATGATCATTTGGGACCGTCCAAACTCCATACTCTGAATCATTGTAAATGAGATCAAATTATGTAGTTTTAATGAGAAAAAAAATCCAAGAGGAAATCTCATTTTTGGCTCTAAAATGTTTTGAAATCTTGACAGGCTCATGATTAATTGCTCATATCTTCGATTATATTTCAGAAAATGTTAAAATGTATCAAAAAAGAATTTATATTTTATCACCCTCTATATTATTCCACTTTAGGTAACTACACCATTTCCAAATCCAAACGGCAGTAAATGACATTTATGGCCGTTTGCACCGACCATTTTTAAGAAGCCTTAGCGATAAGTAGGTATTCCTTAAAATGACATTTTTACATGGAGAAATGTCACTTTAAGGAATACTTATCGCTAAGGCTTCCTAAATTGTAAACAAACACCAGCCTTCCTATTGGTTGAAACGCCCTACCTAGACTAGTGCGCATGCAGTGCACGGAGGACATTTCATAAGTTGTGATGAAAATGACCAGTTTGTCATTTACTGCCGCTTGGATTTGGTTCAACCATAGCTTAAGCTTAAGGCGATTTCGCCCCAGATTTTCATCTGCTGTTTGGTAGCCGAATGGTTAACCCGTTAACCACTTGGTACGTGAGTGACGTGACTCAACAATGTCATCCGAATTCAGTGGATAGGCCGGATAGGGCATTTGGTACATTTTGACTTTGACATGTTGATTCAAGCTGGGTTTATACAGGAAATAAAATAACATAAAATAAGAAATAAAATAAAATAAAAAGATTGGCTTATGGGAAGCCACGTTGGTCTTTATAGGTACACAAAAATAAAATAAGATAAGAAATATGCAAAATAAAAAGTTGGTTAACTTTTACCTAATTTCTTTTTTTATTTTATGTGAAAGTGCTATTTGCGCATGTCACGACGTTAATTATAGCGATTTCCATTTGTCGAACCAGTGCAAAAAATTTTTTATCCTCATCCTTACATGTTATATGCGGATACTCTCAGTGCGCACTGACTGACAAATGCAGATCGCCAGTAGATTAGACCCATGACAGTTCGGGCGTGTGTTGATTGGTTCAAAATAATTCTAATTTAATTTTATATTTTTCTGTATAAACGCCCTATTTCTTATGTTTTATATTATTTCCTATGTTATTTCTTATTTTATTTTATTTTATATGCTGTATAAATCCAGCATTAGACACGGGACAGAAAGAGATAGAAAGCTACCAAACCTCCACTACCCAGTTACAAACCGCAGTCAACCGCAGTATAGCATTTGACAGACCAAAGCGACTGCCAATGTTGTTGACAGCATCATTTTCCCTTTAGGCGATTTCGCCCCAGATTTTGTTTGGTACATTTTGACTTTGACAGGCCAAACTGGGGTACCAAACTGAGGCGAAATCGCCTTTTATTGTGATTTTCCCACAAAACCATTTTCCCATCCGAAATTGATTGGTACCTGTTTGACAGACCAAACTGAGGCGAAATCGCATTTAGTAATTGACCGATCACTTGTAATATAATATTATAACATTCTGCTGGTTAAAAAATGACAGTTTGTCAATCTTTATCTTGAGTTCAACCGAACCACATTATTTTATTGCTGCCCTCTGTGTTTCCAATAGGTTATGCTGCCCAGATATTTATAATAGAAAGTTCTCGTGCCTCAGACGCTACGCTAATACGGTACCGCTAACAATACGGTATTTTATATGGTAAAAGACCATGTAAAATACCGTATTGTTAGTAAGTTCTCGGACACGAAGACATAAAAAATTTCTAATCCCTTATTCTGTTTACATTTTGGAAGCTGAGTTGAGTAATCTAACCCAACTTTTTTTTGCTTGTTTTCTATTTTTTATTTATCCTGAAGATTCCTGAGTTTCGTTAATTTTCCCTTGGTGCTTTTTATGAGGAATTATAAGAAGTTGCTGACGAAAATGGAGCGGAAACTAATTTTGACATAGCATAACGTTACGGTATTGCATACGCTAAATGCCGTTAGGTAGCGAGTCCCGCTAACGCTAATACCGTAAGAACTGTCATACTTGTTAAATAGCGTTACGGTATTTGAAATTTGGACAGCACGAGAACTCTCTATTAAAACAAAGAAAGTGGGGAAAAACATACTAATTCGTTGTTTTTCAGTATACGGTGTCGAATTCGTGAATTCTGTAATGAAAACTGAAAATGTCTGTCGCTGTGATCATGTCCAGTGTATCAAAGCTCTTGGGTAGGGAAAATTATGACGGATGAGCGTTTGCCGTAGAGAATTTTCTAGTCCTCGAAGGACTCTCCAAGTGCATTGAAGGTACGGAATAAGGTTTAGATAAAGATGCCAAGGCTAAAGCAAAGCTGGCATTGACGTTGGACGCTTCATTGTTTGTACATGTGAGAAATGCCAAAACCACCAAGGAATTATGGGAGTGTCTGAAAAACATGTTTGATGACTCAGGCTGCACACGAAAAATATATTCGTTGAGTACGTTGATATCATTGCGCCTTGAAAACTGGGATTCGATGGAGTCCTTTGTAAGTTCAGTTATAGAAACCTCACAAAAATTACGACGTACAGGATTTTCCATTGATGACAAATGGATTGGATCTCTTTTGTTGGCGGGATTGCCTGGCAGGTTTGCCCCAAAGATCATGGCAATCGAACGATTGCAGAAATGGTAGCACTCATCCTAGAACATTTGATAAGAAAAACATCCAGGTGTTTCAAATGTAAAAAAATGGGACACTTTATGAATAAATGTCCAACTAATGAGAATAAATTGAGTGAAAATGAAGGAAATGGCCACAAAAAAAGTAGTGCATTTAGCGCAGTTTTCATAAATGGCCACTACAACAATACAGATTAGTACGTGGATTCAGGAGCCAGTTTACATATAACGTCAAAGAATGATTGGTTAGAAAATACAGGCTCCGTGAGACTAAAGGAAATCATGATTGTAGACAAATCAAAGGTACCAGTAAAAGATGTGAGTGAAGTTAACATCCAAACAATTGTAGATGACAAAAAACATGACATAAGGCGATTTCGCCTCAGATTGGTACCCCACGGCAACTTTGGCAGGCGCTTTGGTCTGTCAGATGCTATACCGCGGTTTGACTGGTTAGTGGAAGTTTGGTAGCTTTCTGTCTCTTTTTGTCTCATGTCCAAATAAACATGTCAAAGTCAAAATGTATCAAACGCCCTATCCACTGAATTCGGATGAGATTGTTGACTTACGTTACCAATTGGTTAACCATTCGCCTACCAAACAGGAGATGAAAATCTGGGGCGAAATCGCCTATAGTGATAAAAAATGTACATTATGTTCCAGATATAACAACAAACCTTCTATCTATCAGTCAGCTCATTAAAAATGGTAACAATGTGTTTTTTGATGGCAGCAGTTGTAAAATTTACAATAATCTTGATGAACTTGTGGCAGCAGCCCAGTTAAATGATAATGTATATAGGCTAGTATTTGACAAAGGTTCACAGGACTCTTTCGTTGCTTTAACAATGTCAAATGAAGTATGTCATAGACGATTAGCACATATCAACTACAATGACCTGAAAGTAATGAAAAATGGCTTAGTTGAAGGTTTAAAAGTAGCAGGAAAAATGGACAATGACATTTTCTGCCAAGTTTGTTGTGAAGGCAAGCAAGCAAGATTGCCTTTCGAGTCTAAAGGCAAAGCTTCAGAATGCTTAAAAATTGTTCATGCAGACCTTTGTGGACCCATGAAACACAGATCCATAGGAGGTTCGAAATATTTCTTGTTGTTTGTAGATAACTACAGTAGAATGAGCTTTGTATATTTTTTGAGCACAAAAGATGAAGCCCTTAATAACTTCAAGGGATTTAAGAAGTTCGTAGAGAATCAGGTGGATCGAAACATTAAAGTTGTGAAAACAGGGACATAAGAGTCCCTGTTTGGGAATCGACATTCTGCTGGTTAAAAAATGACATTTTGTCAATCTTTATCTTGAGTTCAACCGAGTAGTGTACCCCGCCTTCCCGTGCCAGTCCTTGACGCGTTTCGTCCTTGTTAGGACTTATCAGAAGGACATAGGCTGAAGCTCCCTGTCCAAGCAAAATTGAACTTCGTTGACCCAGTCAGAAACACGTTGGTCATTACCTGAAAAAAACTTTCTAACAATTTTCATTACCAACGAAAGCTCAGACCAATCAGTGTAGTTCAACGCCGGTAGGGGTATTTGCTCTCGGAGTAGTTGTTTCTGACTGGTCAACGAAGTTCAATTTTGCTTGGACAGGGAGCTTCAGCCTATGTCCTTCTGATAAGTCCTAACAAGGACGAAACGCGTCAAGGACTGGCACGGGAAGGCGGGGTCCACTACTCAGTGGGTCGATTCCCAAACAGGGACTCTTATGTCCCTGTTTTCACGTTGGTCATTACCCGAAAAAACTTTCTAACAAGATGATTTTAGTTGGTTATGGACAAGGTGTAAAAGGACATAAATTGTATAATCCTGATAAGAATGAAGTCATAATAAGCCGCGATGTGGTAATTAACGAAAGGGTTAGCAAACACGTTGATATTGTTATAAATAAAACACAAAATGGCTTTGAAGAAAGTTTTGCAATGGTTCCAGAAGCTGAAGATGCAGCTTCAGTGGAAGAAACTCCATAGTTGATGATAATTTTGATGTCTTCGATTGTCATGAAGATGAATCAGAATTAGGTGCATCAAGCGACAATGATTTTCCAGCCACAGTTCAAGAACCATTGAGATTAAAAAAATCTGAGAGAAAGAGAGTACCAAAAACATTTGACGAGTACATAATAACTTACCTATGTTCTGAGATTCCAAATAGTGAATTTGATTTTGAGGATATGCCAGGAACAGTTTCAGAAGCTTAAGCTCGTCCAGATGGTGAAAAATGGCAGCAAGCGATGCTGGATGAGTTAAGTTCTTTCGAAGAAAATAATACTTGGGACTTAGCGAATATTCCGGAAAAAGGGACAGTTGTAGATTGTAAATGGGTCTTCAAAGTGAAGAGCGACAGTGAAAATAAGCCAATTTATCGGGCAAGATTGGTAGCTAAAGGCTTTACTCAGAAGGAAGGAATCGACTACACAGAAACTCTCGCACCTGTGGTAAGATTTAGTACCTTAAGGCTTTTAGTAGCGTTGGCAGTACAGTTAGATTTAGGGATGTCAACTAGATGTTACAACTGAGGACAATAAGAACATTGCAAGTGATAAAGACATTCCGTATCAGAGACATAGGAAGTTTGATGTACCTTGCAATATTGACCAGGCCAGACTTAACTTATGTTGTTAGTTTCTTGTCTCAGTTCAATAATTGTTTCACAGAATATCACTGGAAGTGTGCTAAACGAGTGCTAAGATATTTGCAGGATACTAAGACATATTCCTTGGTTTTTTAAAAGATGGTGAGTTTTTAGAGGGTTACGTAGATGGTGGTTGGGCGTCAAACAATTGATAGGAAATCATATACAGGTTTTGTATTTAAACTTTCTGGAGGATCCATCTCTTGGAAAAGCAAGAAACAGAATACAGTAGCTCTTTCCAGCACAGAAGCGGAGTATATGGCACTGAGTGAAGCGACTAAAGAAGCCATATATCTCCGAAATCTGATGGGGGAACTGATCGGAAAATTAGATTGCATCAAAATATACAATGATAATCAAAGTGCGCAAAAATTGTCAGTCAATACAATCTTCCATAAGCGTTCTAAGCACATTGATGTGCGCTATCATTTTCTTAGGGCAGTGGTTGCAAAAAACATTGTTAAATTTGATTATTTGGCAACAGCCAACATGACAGCTGATATTTTAACTAAAGGTTTGCAAAATGTTAAACATAACAATTTTGTGAAAAAGTTAAGTTTAGCAATTGCATAAATTATTTTTTCTACTACCGTGCGTAAAGTACTCACTTTACGCACTATTTAGAAGAGGTAAAATTTCTCTTCACACACTAGTGCGTAAAGTAATTTACTTCACACACTAGTGCGTAAAGAAATGTCAATGACAGATGTCAACACTGTCAAATTACTATTTTTCTGGTAAATTACGGCACTAGTGCGTAAAGTGAGAATACTTTACGCACTAGTGCGTGAAGAATTGATTAAATTTATTTTTTCACACATATTTGATAGGTAGTAGAAAAAATTTTGTATGCAATCCGTGCGTAAAGCACCTTTTTTCACTCATGTGATTGTCGCACTCGCCTTACATTCGTGAAAAAAGGTTCATTTTACACACGTGTTGCATAAATAACTATTTTGATAAGTGGGGGTGTTGAAATGTATCCATAAAATTTCTATTTTATCACCCTCTATATTATTCCACTTTGAGTTTAGTTTATTGACTGGTCACCTGTAATATAATTTATAACATTCTGCTGGTAGAAAAATGACAGTTCTTTATCTTGAGTTCAACCGAACCACATTGTTTTATTGCTTTCCTCTGTGTTTCCAACAGAAAAATGCCTACAATCATGCATCATCGCCCATCGGAAAGAATATTAAATTCTCTATAAGCCGTGCAAAGCTGGTTTTTGTAGCTTGTGGAGTTTACGAGATATCGAGCTTCAAAGTTGAAATTTAGTCGACATTTTGTCCAAAACTTCAAACTCCATTTTCTCAAAAACCGTAAACGCCAGCGATTTCAACCGAATACCATTTTGAAGCTTTTGCTAAGAGCTACAATTTTTGAAAATATTATTCTAGTACCGCTTTTGGTTACGGAGATAATAAGATTTACAAATACAAATCCAAAGGGGGTATCTTTAGAAAGAAGTGTAAAGAATTGACAAATTTTATTTTTGGATTGTTTCAAATTTCGACTCTAAATTCATAGAGCAAATCCAAATTAGCCAGAAACAACTCTAACATCAGTTAAATTCGAAAATTTTGATGAGAAAAAAAATCCAAGGGAAAATCTAGTTTTTGGCTCTGAAAATATTTTGAAATCTTGACAGGCTCATGATTAATTGCTCATATCTCCGATGATATTTCAGAAGCTGGCCTACAACTCTAAATCATCGGAAGAATATTAAATTCTCTATAAGTTGTGCAAAATTGGTTTTTGTTGTTTAAGGAGTTTCCGAGATATCGAGCTTCAAAGTTGCAATTTAGTCGACATTTTGTCCAAAACTTCAAACTCGATTTTCTTAAAAACCGTAAACGCTAGCGACTGAATCTAAATACCATTTTGAAGCTATTATAGACAGCTTCAATTCCTGAAAATCCTTTATCTGAACTACTATTGGTTACCGAGATATTGAGGTTTGAAGGTTTGAAAATAAAAATTCAAAGCGAAGAAGTGCAAAAGATTGACAATTTTTATTTTTGGTTTTTTCTCAATTTTGACTTGTTAAAAAATCGATGGAGCAAGTCTAAATGTACAGACTTTCCTTTACCTATAGGCTATATGTACTCTTATTTCCTTAGCGGGATTGTAGGTAAAATAGCTTAAATTTTCGGAGCTTGTCTTGTGGTCCTTCACCGGCTTCACTAGAAGATTTTCTGAAAATTTCAGATTTCCATCTATGATACAATTAATTGAAGATACGATTTTTTACAGTTTTTAGAAATTGATTTTCAAATCTTCAATACGAAAATGTTTAAATTTCAAATTTTTTACTGGTTGAAATTAGTGGAACGCGAGTATAAGACAGTGAGTTGTAATCTAGTGACTAGTAGTTAAACAAAGTTCTTTAATAGTGCAGTGCAGCAAATATAGACAAAATAATTATTATAAAACAAGGTACCAACACCTACAAAACATTCCTCCGGAACGGAAATAAGCGAAGCCAAAGTTATCTCCCCAGTCAAGTTCCCAAAGGTATCCACCTGAAGTAGACAAAGATAGGTACCTGTCAGGTACCACCGCGGTGAGTAGGTAGGAACAGCTTTTCAGAGCTTTGTATAACCTGCGCCGGACGTACGGCAATGTACCACATTTATTATTATAATACCTTTCTCCAATCATCAGCAGTTAACTTACTGTTTAGTTTACAAAGACAAATATGTTTATGTGGTGCTTCTTCCTCGGTCATGAATTAAACTAGTTTTTATTGTTTGTGATTAATATGTTGTGAAATAGTTGACATTTGTGGAATTTATAACAGGAACATTCTAAAGATATTTTTGATGGCCTTTAGGTAAATGCCTTTATTATTTAACTTAAATGCCCCTTGACGTATTAAACTATTTTTACCTACATTTATTAGTTATTAATAAGATGAAAATTGGCCTTTTTTAAAAAAAAAGTTTAAAGCAGGTTGATTATATCGGTTGTCCGTTATTTCAAAGGATTTGAAAACTCCAGCCAAGTGTAAATTCCACAGTTCCTTTTGTTTGTTGTCTGTTGCATAAATGCAAGAATAACGTTGAAACAGTGGCGTAGGAGCAATTTGTGGCCTTATTACTGAACCTTTACATATTATTATATCTGGTATGCTTATAGAGGTTGGTTGGGACAGTCAATTTGTGAAAATTAATATAAGATGAGAAACATTGATTCATGCAAAATTTAGCATTATTTGGTTGAAAGATAGAGGTATATGTGAGATAATAATTTCAATATTTAGAGAGTTGTTTTAAAATTCCACAAACATTTTTAAGAATTAGTTAAATGCATCAAATAAGTTACAATAAGTGTCCTCCTCAAAATGCGATCAGTCCCTAGTAATAAAAGATTAGTTTCTTATAGGGACTTGTCAAATACCCAGACAGTATAGGGACATTCTCTGAAATAATTCTGGAGGCTTTTAAATTGTTCTGAAGCCTTTCAAAATGCTGCTGCAAAGTGTTTTGAAACGTTCTAAAATGGCCTTACTGAAGTTCTAATGTGCTCTAACTTGGCTTGAAGAATTCTGGAGCATTCTAGAAGTTTTTCAGTAATTTCTACACCAATTTAAATTCATCCTGAAAGGCGTTTTGTAATTTTTAATCTGAATCCTAAGATTCTGGCGTTTTTCGAAATGTTTCTGGAGATTCAAGAGTGGTTCAGTGTTTTAGAACGTCTTAAAATGACTAAAATTGGTTCCAAACTTCTGAGTTGTTCTAAAATGCTTTTGAAAATTGTGAATCGGTTTTTGAATGATTTGGAGCATTCTAAAATAGTTATGGAATTTCCAAATTGTTCTGAAGTGCTACAGAAACTTATGGAAATTCTTAATCAAATTTTAAGTGTTCTTTTTTGAACTTTCCAAAAGACCTATTAAAGTACCTACTTGTTCTGTTGTTGTTGTTCTGTAACATTCTAAATGGTTTCCAGTAACTTCTAAATTGAATGAGAAACGAATTCTGTGGGAAATTTTTGTAGACATCTTAAAGACATCCCTAAGATCTCCATAAGCGGCATTCAAGACATCTTACTTACGTCTCAAGGCATCTTATAAACATCTTAAAGACGTCGTATAATACAAAACCCAATGTCTTTCAGACGTCTTTAGGACTAGACTGACATTCTAAAGACGTCTTCAATGAGATGTCTACAAGATGTCTTTGAATCTTTTTTCAATATATAAACCATTATTCACTTTTAGGCCTTTGTTTGTACCAAATACATAGTTGTCTTTAAGATGTGCATTTACAACATCTTATAGACGTCTTCATTTTGTATCCTAAAGAAATTAAATAAATAAAAACAACGTTTTCTATAGACGTCTTCAAGACTTTGTCAGATGTCTGGGAATGCAGAAAGCCAGACTCCATTATTTCAAAAACCTTAGCAAGAGATATTTTTCATAGAGCATAAAAAAATCTCTATAAAGTTCATATTTGAGTCATAAACCCGTCAAAAAACCCGTCCCAAGAACGGATTTGGAACCACTCTGTATACGAATTTTGGATTCTATACGTACAAATTTCACATTTGGCGCAGAATCCTGACAAAGCTATTGTGAAACCTTCTGAAAATTGATAAAATTCAAATTCTGCCAAATAATCATCCATTTTGCAAGTTATGTCCAATACTGTGGAATACTATAACAGGATTTTATTGAGTTATATTTTTTTACCAAAATCATAAAGTAGTAGCAAAGTTTTTAGTAGTTACCTGAAAGCGAAACAATAGACTATAAATATGTAATATGTAATAAACCGAGTAATAAACATAAAATTCGAAAGTCTGAATGTGGACCAATAATAATTTACGATTTTTATCGAAATCGTTTGGAAGCTGTACAGAAATTCTGACCCATGCAGAAAGCCAAAATTTTCCTTAAAAGTTTCTTTGGAAACTCAAAGGAAACGTCCAAAGGTGGCCAATGAGACTTTGTACTTCACTATCTATAGTTGATTCAATCTTCAGTTTTCCTTGACTTTTTAATTTGTCTTTTCTTTTTCTGCGATTTCAAAGTAAAAACTGCATAAGTTTCTTGTTTGAATGGTATTTATATAAGTCTTAAGTGAATAATTTCCAATTAATGCAAATTTAATTCCAAACCACACAACTGGGAAAATTTATAGGTTTTCTAGCTATTCACCAAAAGCACTAGGCAAATATTTTGTCCAATCATGCCACACCGAAATAGGTACCTCCAATTAAATTTTCAATGTCGGTGTAACTCAATTACTTCTAATTTAGTTAATTGCTTTAATAGGTTAAACCAGACCATATGTGTATGATGATGCTTCTATTTATCCTGGCTAATCGAAACAAAAAAAGAGAAATTAACCCGGTGGTCACGGTTTTAGGCTTGAAATGCTCTGGTTCCTTCTAAGATTGGTTCAGTGGCATGACAAAAAAAATCAATATTAATCTTCTTAGCCTTTTTTTTTCCAATAGCGATTGTTTTGAACCTGAAAGGCCAAGGCTTACATTTAGATATCTTTTATTGTTTAATATTTCTTTGCATTGCAAAATACCTACTATAGAAATGCCACACCTTGCAAATGGGCGTTGGCTGTAGTAGGCAATATTATTTATGAAGTTTTGGTTGATTTATTATCAAGTCAAAGTTGTAATTAGCTAATACTTAATATCGGAAAACAATATAAAACACTGCAATTTTTAAAAGGCAATAAACTTAGAAGAAATAAATAACTCATTAACTCTTAAGTCTTAAAAGGCTACAAGTTTTTGTTCGTCATCTACAAATAAAATTAATGATTTGCATAAAAGAACTGTGACATTATTGAAATTTTAAACATTATTTCTGTTTTTGTTTTTAAATTACCTCCTAGTTGAGAAACCTTGATTTTGGAAAAAAGACAATTAAATAAATATCTCTGTTTTTTTGCCTCCAGTGTGACAGCTCGGGAGTAATAGTTATTCATGTACCAAGGCAGTAAAGTGATATTTTATCGAACGAGTCTGAGTTTATGAGTCGAGCGAGCGAGGCGAGTGAAAAGGCGAGATCGATAAAAACACTTTACTGACGTGCATACAAACTTTATCGCCAACAGTAATAATTGATAACTGTAAAAAATGGAGATATTATAACTTAACAAATTTTATTATAAGAGCAAATGCAGAACAAAATGGTAAAATACTTTATCTGCCGCATATGCGGCAGGTAAAATGCAGTGAAATAAAGTATTTCTTTACTTTCGGAAATCGCTATAGCTCTACTGACAGTTGGCGATAAAAAAAATTTGAGAGTGAATTTGAGGAATTTCTAAGTAAAGATAATACAATACTAAAAAAACTCAATCCCATTTGGGGGTAAGTCCCGCACCCTAATATACTTGTACTTTGCTGTTTATTTTCCTTTTTCCTGCTTGCCTGTAATTCAACCTCACAGCTTATAGCATGAAAGAAAAATCGGGTGGTCCAGAGGGGCCCCCCTAAACTTACTTACTTATAAGTATACCTTTAGAGACCCAAAACCATACATAGAGATAGTAGAAAGTGAAAAACATAGGGAATTTACACTCAATGAGCATAGGTATACATATAGAATGTTGAGAACTGGGAATGTGAAAGGAGTGGAAAAAAACTTCTAGAAAGGGAAAGAATAGAATAGGTGTACAAATTTCAGAATATATTTAGTGCTAATGAGTTCCTCAGCAATCAATTAATTAGGAAAAATAAATTAAAAGCATACATACCTATTAGTTTGGTAGCCTGCAAAGGATTAGCTAGAGGAATAATGAATCATCTAACTACAGAACAAATTATCGATAGTGCAAACTCCGTGGCTACAATTATAGAAGCAAGAAGGCTACAGAAAAGAATTAGAGAAAACGGTGAAATTAAATATGAATCAGTAGTACTCATCTTTCGAAGGAAGGTAATGCTTATATCTATAAATTTGGAATATTGCGAAGTTCGGATTGATGTGTATATAACTCCAGTCATGATGTGCTACAACTGTTTGAGATATCGCCGTTCGTCAAAACAGTGTCGCAGCAAGAAAAGATGCCCTTAATGACAGCAGAACATAATAGGGATAAGTGTGAAGAGGAGAATCCCACTTGCCTGTATTTACAATAGAACATAAAGTAATTGCCCAGAATACCAGAGACAAAAAAAAACATCAAAACAACCATGGTCACAGATAACATTTCCTACTTTGAGGCAGAAATACTCAAAGATACCCGAAGACGCTCCAGCAACCGAACATAGAAATAATCACAGAACACCTCCAGATTATAAAGATTTGCCCAATCTAACACCAAGAAATAGTAGCCAAACAAATAATGCAAATATACTTAACAAAAGACACCTGTATATTCCACAAACTCTCAAAAGATCCTACTCCAGTATAATTTCTACTTTAAAGAGGAAAATACCAAGCTCTCCTGTGCAAAGATATGACAGGGAACAACATAAAAAGCGTCTCTATATGGACTCGAGTAGAACTCCCAGCAGAGTGGCAGTATTCCTGGAAGGAAGCAATTCTCCATCCCCTATGATATACTCATTTCAGATTATGACATTGACACCCATTGAAGCGTTGGAACAAGAAATTGCAAGAACAAATAACTATCCTAATGAAACAATGCCTGATGGAAAGGTGCGAGAAAGCTACTCAAACAGGCTTGGAAGGTAATGAAACACTATATTTTAATGATAATGCAAACGCTCGCTTAGATTTTTATGCAGAAACTATCGATGAAAATCATACAATGGAATCTTAGGAGTCTAAGTATATTCTAATTATTATGATAACTTGAAAATATTGATAGAGGGAATCCTGAAATTGTTTTA